AGTGTTCTGGCAAAAAACATAAGCCAGATCTGCAACAAAACCAGGGAAGAGGGAAGTCAGTTCTTAAAAACAGTTATGATAATATTCAGTTCTAATGAACAGCCCCCTCATATCCCCAAATTTAAGTACCAAACAAGGTTTAAAAACAGGGTGTCATTTTGCAAGTTTTTTGGTATTAGCGCTCTCTGGTTGCAGTGGCTTCAGCGACTTTAGACATTTTTCAGGACTTCTATCATGCTACCAAGATTATCATTACAGAAAAAAAATCCAAACCTAGTCACTTAACTTCTGTTATATTAACTTATGTTAAGGATGATTACTAGTGATAGAAGACAGAAAAGAACAGGATAAGGAAAGAATGAGTATCACCTATGGAGAAGTGTCCTAAGCTGTACAGCAATGCACTATGAAAGGATAACAAAAACATAAGTAACAGGACATTAAGCGAAAAGATGCAAAGTAAATCTATAAAGATGAAAAAGGGTGTTTATATAATATAAACTGAGTAAGATATCTTTATGCTGTGACAGTAAAAAAAGTTAGACACAAGTTAAACAGGTTATAAAAATAAGAAGATAGTCTGAAGCGTATTTCCCTCTTTTTTTTTTGCATCTGCTTCCCCTTCTCAGGCAATTAAACAGCCCATAAAGGCATCCACCTGAGTTTGATGACCATAGAAATATTAAGCTTGTGCCATCACAGTCCAAGGCCAGTGGAATTATGCTGAATGCTTGTCCATTTTACCTGAGTTATAAATAGATTTCTTGCTGCTAGCCAAGTACTGTCCATTCAGGAACCTGTGCTTGCTAAATTCCACTACAGCCATGGCTGCCCCTGTGCAAATGAAGACATAGCTGCTTTGAAGCTGGAGGCTTGATAGCAGAATTTCCATCTTTGGCAAGAGAGCCAAGAAACACAGGAGAAACTGCAGATAAGGTTTCCAGAAACGGCTAATTATTGCTTTACAATTCTCCTCAGAAAAACAGTAGAGACAAATATTTATGATGCTTTCTTTAGTTTCCTACCTCACTGTCACTGCTGTCAGCATGGAAAGCAAATATGTTCTATTAACTGCTGTGGGCTTTTGAAAGCTTATGGAGGAACCTGCCTGAATTGATATTGCGCGAGTTTCTGTTGCAGCTGCTGCTTGAAGACCTAAACCCAGTGTCCACCGTGACTGTCAGCCTCCGACAGACTAAACACCCGCCGACGTCCTTTCCTGCCAGACCTTACTAGAGGAAAACACAGTGATATATCATATGAAAGCTTTAACAATGAAACAAGGAAGGGAAACTGGAATGAAGACAAAGGATAAATGTTAGAGTAGCAACAAGAATAAGTGACAAGGACACATCCATAACTGCTGGTATCTTGAATACAATTTGACACCACACCAAAAAATCTTACAAGTTTGGGAAATACTTCTGAAGCTGGAAGTATTCATTCTTTCAAAATTAGAGTTTAACTGAATTTAATTTTTTGCTTACCTATATGGCAAGATTCTTAATAGTTTGGGCTACGTCTGGCAATACCAACAGCACTTACACTGAGGAGGGACTGGCAGGCTTTTATTGGCATTACAACCTACACACATGCTTTAGAAATCTTCAGAGAAGCTATATATCACAAACTGGTGACAGGAAATTATTTTGATTTCCACTGGCCATAAATGACAAGAGGTGCAGTACCACACAAGTGACAATACTTCAGACTATTCAGCTCTAGTATTCTGTGCTATGAAACTGAAGTATTAGATTTAGTTTATTATAAAGACAGTGTTTTAAAAGATAGCAGCAGTTCAGATGACGATGCTTGGTGCCTAGAAAGTTCCTAGAAATGAAACTTTCTAGAAACAGAAGTACTTCCTCAACTAGTTAGAAAATTACTAGCATCGAGAACAGAAGAGATCAAAC